AAATAATTATTTTGATTTAACTTCTTGAAGGCCTCTGGAGCATACATCTTTCGTCCAAATCACACATATCCTACCAGATCAGATGGGCAGGTACATATTTTTGAAGCACACTCTTAAGAATTTACATCAAACAGCAACAAGCTTCAAATTTTATAGGATGTGAAAACTTTTCAGGCTTCTTTTACCGTTTTGCGAGGACCATTATTGGATGAGGTTCACCAGAGAATCAATTCATGGATATATCAGGTTAATCTCTCTTCAAATGACATGCGTCAATTTGTTCTGTTTCTTTTCCGACATAGCCTTCCTTATTTTGTGTTAGTAGTATAAAGAATCAGAATATGATCACAGAAAACATGTTAAAAGAAAATAAATGTTAGCTGACCTTTGTTTTATTGAGACACTCAAATAAAGGTGCAACATGTAATTAAAGTTAAAATCTATGTTTATTGGTCTAATCACTAATAAATTATTTCAAAATTATGTCTGTACGTAACCTAAAAGTAGAAGAGTTTTAGATGGTATAGATCATAGATGAAATGGATGTGATTGTAATATGTTGGACATATAATCAACGTATGCCCCATTTCCACCCTCTCTCTTTCATCATACAAGTTGCACATGGTTGAAGAATCAAATCTTCTTTTTGTATAGAATTTTTAATATCGCATGGCAAAAGGCTGACTAGATTTGGACCATAAATTACCTGTTTGTTTGAATAGATGTCTACAATTACTATGATCTGATACATTCTGTTATGGGTTCAGATAAAATTCTCTTTATGCTCTCTAAACTTGGAAGTAACAGGTTCCTTAACCCTCAATTCTTTCAGTAACTAACATCATTGTCTGCATAAACAGATCACAAGAGTGTACAAGGGAAAGGAGTATGCTGAATTTGAGTTCACTGTAAGTCTTTTACATTTATGATCTTTTTGATATTCATATACATATTTATCCTAAACAGTGTGGGAGGAAATTTTTGTGTTAGAGCTGTTTGCATAACACAATTGTTCTTAATTTTAGGTTGGGCCTATTCCTATTGATGATGGAGTTGGAAAAGAAGTTGTGACTCAGATTTCAACACATATGAAAACCAACAAAACATTCTATACAGATTCCTGTGGTCGCGATTTCATTGAAAGGGTTTGTTGCCTGGTTGTCTTGATATATTAGCATGTTGATGGAGTATGTATGGATAGCAATATTTGATCTCTGGAATTTTGCTTGTACGCAGCCTTTATGGAAATTATTATTTTGCAGATTCGAGACTATAGGAAAGATTGGAACCTGGAAGTGAATCAACCTGTAGCAGGAAACTATTACCCTGTATGTTTAATACATCGTCATGTTATCTCCTAAAGTTCTTTTAACACAGCCTGTAGAATAAGAAGCCAAATCTGTTCAGTTGACAATTTACCATTGTTAAGGTCAGAGGTCTGCAGTGTATATCTAAGCATTTGAGTTCAAATTTCACCTAATTGAAAACTGAATTTTCTTTTTATATATACTTGATGAAAGAAGTAGTGTGAACAATATCATATGAAACTGCAGAAGGTTATTCATATTTTTAAATTGTGAAGGGTGGGCATTTGGGTTTATTAATTCAAGACTAGCAAATTATCTCTGGATAAATTGTCTTTTTGTGCTCCATGTCTACTTAAAGATGAGGCCCGCTGTATATAGATGAATGACTATTTATTGTTTGCAATTATTTTATGCTATGTAGTTAGTTTGTATTGCTGCTCTGCATCTCTTCTTATAGAACTACTGCTCAACAACCTTTTAACAATCTGCACTTTGACTGGCTGGTCTCTTCAAGGCTCTGCCCTAAGAAGTTTTTATTTGCTTTCATTTCAGATTAATCTTGGGTTGTACTTTAAGGATGATGGTAAGGAGCTCTCAGTCTTAGTTGATCGATCTGTGGGTGGAGCCAGCATTAAGGATGGTCAATTAGAACTAATGCTCCATAGGTTTAATCTCTTGCATTTCTGTTGCTTGTTCTTTATCTATTACGATTCTATAAGAATGTCAGTGGATGGATACCATGATAATCAATTATACATTTGATAAATTTTTGAAATCTATAATTTTGGTTCTCCCTTCTTTGTATAGGAGGTTGCTTCATGATGATGATAGAGGTGTTGCAGAAGCACTAAATGAAACAGTTTGCGTTCACAATAAATGCAGTGGACTAACTGTAAGCAAATATCAGTCGTATCTTTGATCTTCAGTTTCGAGCAATGCCATACTTTTCATGTATATTTTTGTTAACAAATCAAATTTGGATAGATTGTGGGGAAGTATTACCTCAGAATTGATCCTCTTGGAGAGGCAGCTAAGTGGCGTCGATCATTTGGTCAGGAGATTTATTCTCCATTTCTCTTAGCCTTTACAGAGCAGGTGAAAGCAATAAGTTGAACTATCTTGTTGCAGGTTGTGGTTAACCAGAGACTAATAAACGTTTGGTTAGCATTTTGCAGGATGGAGATGAATGGGCAAATTCCCGCATCTTATCCTTCTCAGGGATGGACCCCTCTTATGTTTTACCTGATAATGTTGCAATGATAACCATCCAGGTATGTATCTCATGTCTGTGTCTTGTTAATCTACTAGTATTTTTTCAATTACCAGTCTGTTGTATGGCATAATGAACTCTCAGAAAATGATAGGGAAAGGTGTAAAAAAGATTCCCCAGAATTGCATCGCTGCACAAGTTGTGTTCAGGGTGTCAAACTCTACCTAATACATTGGATATGTGATCGAATAGATAGCTTCAATCCCCTTTTGTACTACAGCAAAGTATCTCCTTACCAAGGCTTAGACATATAATTTCATGATCTATATACTTCACATTTTTTTAAAAAAAATCTGCAGGAATTGGACGATGGAAAAGTTCTTCTTCGGTTGGCACACTTGTACGAGGTTGGTATTTTGTTTAATGTATCAAACTTGAACTGATGATCGAGGTCTGATTTCACAAATAGTTTAATTAAGGCATCTTAACTAATCAGTGCCAATTAATTAAGAATTTGGAAGTTCTTATAACTATCATACCTTTATGAATAGATTCTCCTTAGCATCTCAACTTTTTCCACTTGAAGGCTGATTATGTATGCGAAGATGTACATTTGTAGATACGTACATGTACATATATGGAGAGTATATACAAATAATTAGCACTACAATGCATTTTTCAGCATTGATTGGTTTTAAGCGTTTGGAAACATTTGGCTTTTGACCACATTCAAGAGTAGAAATTCTTTGTTCAGCATCAAACTGGCATATACTGAATGAAACTATTTCTTTGGTGCTTCAAATGCAAGATTGGGGAGGACAAGGATCTCTCAGTTATGGCAAGTGTACAACTGAAAAAAGTGTTCGCACATAAGAAGGTAAAGAAGGCCAAATGGAGTGCATGAAAATTCTTCCGATTACCCATTCTGATAATATTTCATTTCTTCTCATATTCAGATAAATGAAGTAACAGAAATGAGTCTATCTGCTAACCAAGGAAGAGCAGAAATGGAAAAGAAGAGGCTGGTGTGGAAAGCAGAAGGCTCATCTGGAGAATCTCCCAAGGTGGTGAGGGGAGGACCTGTTGATCCAGCAACTTTGGTGGTTGAACTTGCTCCAATGGAAATCCGGACCTTTGTCATCGAATTCCATTAGAAGAAAATCACTGGAAGAAACAAGTTCCAATAAGTTCTTCATTGTTCCTGAATAACGATCAATCATGCCAGGGAGGTAAGCAACTAGCAAGTAGGTTACTTTTAAATTTCTTGCCGAGAGATGTATTGGCTCCAAAGCAAACAGCCTTCTGTAACATTAAATAAAACTAATGCTTGCTGCTTCACTCATTTTATCCGCTTATAATCTAATTTACGCACTCTTACATCCAACTAGACCAACTGAAGTGTTGTTGAATGAATGAAATTAACTCATTTGACGAATGCACAAAAGCTATCAGACGCAGTAGAATTGGAGTGTAAATATTAGAAAGGTAACTCTTTCCAGATTTTGCAGGGTTATCGTTTTGGTTGGTTCTTCTAAAGCAGCATTTAAATTGCTATGTAACACTGCCAAAATTCAAATCTAACCCCATCTAGTTCCATGTCAAATAAATTCAAATAAATAACTCTAAAATGAAAAACATGCCACAAAAAATATGTCAAGTGTCATCCAAAAATATTGCTTTAGTTTTAGTATATAGTATATATAGATAGATATTTATTTATTATTATAAAATTAAAAAAATGTAAAAAATAATAATTATTAAGAATAACTGACTACATGTCAACCAACAACTCCTTCGAAATACTTTTTATATAGAGTATAAATATGTTATAAAATAAAAAAATGTTAAAAAAAAATCCCCAACAATGATTATTGGTTGCCATATGGCAAGTAAATAACTCATCACATGTCAACCAATAACCCTCCTTGGAGACAAATTTTGTATATAGATATTTCAAAAGTAAAGACTTGATATTTCTTATTTAGAGTATTTGGATTTTTTGGAAGAAAATTATAGTATAGAATGCCATGCATTGCTATACCTTCCCTCCCCCTTTGTTTCTCCTTATTTAATGTTTTTAGTCAAATAAATTTAATTTTAATTATTATTTTTTAAAAATGTTATATACAATTTTTTTTTTAAAAAATACGTCTTTGAAAAATTTATTAAAAATAATTATAAAGCTGAATTCATTTGAATTAAAAAAAAGCCATAAATATAATATAACAGAAGAATAATTAACAAGCAAATGTTTGGAAATTGGAATCAGGCCCAATCCCCCAAAAAAAGTAGTGTTCTAGAAATCCCAGATCCATCATATTTGGATCCAGTAAGCTAGGCCCAACTCAGATAGGAAGATTACAAGATGAACTGTAAAATCCAACAAAGGGCCCATCAAGAAAACCCAGGCCAGACCAAATCATGGCTACAGCTTCGGACTCCCGGGTCGGTAACCGGATCCACAAAACCCCCTAAGAAACAGACACAGTCGAGTAAAAGAAACTCGAGACGAGCCGTAGTACACCATTCTTTGCTAGATTAATCCAAGGTACGTCCGTACTCAAATTTGTTTAGATCTCTACACTCTGTTTGGTCGCAGGTGAAATGCCTTCATATTTTCATTCTATTTCCCGGCCGCCAATCTGCCAGAAACTTGTGTCATTTTTTCTTTATTAAATGTATAATTTTTGTAGTTTTTGTTGGCAATTGAAGGTGCCATGGCGAAGGTTAACGAAGTAACGGCAATGGAAATTGACGATCCAAATTCAAACGTTTCCGATCAGATCAGCCCCAAGTACTCAATCCACGGTCAGTTTTTGTTATTTCTCTGTCGACGTTTTTCTTCAATTGCATCAACAATAGTATTTCAACGGCGAGATTGAAGGTTCTAGCTGTTTTTCTTTTTCATTTCTATTTAAAATTGTATAATTTTGGCTTCCGTTTTCAGTTTTGCAGCTTCTAAAGTCTGCACAGATGCAACATGGATTACGACATGGAGATTACGCTCGTTACCGGTACATTTACGCGAAATTCGTTTATTTATTTTAAAGAATTATTGAAATGCATTCTCTTAAAATGGTTTTTGATTATTTTGAATGTTTTTAATGTTTCCATGAATTATATGGTCGCTGCAGGAGGTATTGCACTGCTCGTTTGAGGAGGTTATATAAATCATTGAAGTTCACACATGGCCGCGGTAAATACACCCGAAAAGCCATTACCGAGTCCACTGTCACTGAAGTGAGGTCTGTCTTGTTAATTTTTGTAGTAATATAAAAATTTTTACATCTCTGAATGTCTTGTTAATTTTTCTTTTAATTCAAATTATTTCCATTAGAAGCTCTCTCCATAATGTTATGTCTTCTCAATAGACCATCATTGGAGAGGATTGGCTAATGGATGCAATATGGAGTCAAGGTATCATAGCTTTTCTAAGTGAAAACTGTAATTTTGATTTGATTTAAAATAGGTTTCTTCATCTGGTTCTATATACGGCAGAGAGAGCTTGGAGCCATGCCATGGAGAAAAGACAGCTTCCAGATGGCCCAAATGCACGCCAGCGTATCTATTTAATTGGTAGATTACGCAAGGCAGTAAAATGGGCAGATCTGTTTTCACATTTGTGTTCTGTTAAAGGAGATTCCAGAACATCTTTAGAAGCTGAGGTGCGTTTGCAATTTGGTTGTTATTTTTGCATGCTATTTTTGTAGCTATAAAGTAAACATGCTTTTTTCCTGCTTACAGGAGGAAAGAAAAGGAGTAGAAAATAGCGTATACTTGCATTCTTTTCTTTTTTGAAATTTCTTCCATTGTTTCTCTTCCTGTATTTGGTCAAATATTGTGCCTTTTGAGTCATGTTGAGGTGCAAATGCTTGAATTTAGTAGGTAAAATATTGCTTACAAAGGTATGGTAGCGAGCAAAACGAGTTTTTGCTCTCTGTATTGGGTGAGCTTTACCCAGATATAAACTGTGCTCAGAGGCACAGACTTTGTAGTTGTGGAGGAAGAAGTGAAACTAGGCATGCCTCTATATATCCATGCATCTTAGTCAAATTTCTGATTGTCTATTGTGATGAACCTTCAAATTACTACAGCCTTTTGTGGATCTTCTTTCTTGATGAAGTTTTTCTTTCTTTCTTTGCACTTCATCTTGTTTTGTTTTTTATTGTAGGCCTATGCATCCTATATGAAAGGGAATTTGTTGTTTGAACAAGATCAGAATTGGGACACTGCACTGAGGAACTTCAAAAGTGCCAGGTTTGTGCTTGTCTCCAATAGTATCTGGACGCATAGATAACATTTATCTTGTTGGAGTAGATAGCTAATTTTCTGCTTGATCTGCAAACTACCCTGTCAAAAGGAAAAATTAAATATCCTTCATAATATTTTTTTAATGGTGTTTTCTCAATTAGAGCACACAGGGCTAACTTCTTTGATTATGTTGCAGGGCTGTCTATGAAGAACTTGGGAAATATGGAGATGTGGAGAATCAAGTCTTGTGTCGTGAACGTGTTGAAGAGCTTGAACCTAGTATTCGGTATTGCCTTCACAAAATTGGAGAGTCAAATTTGCAAGCTTCTGAGCTTTTACAGATTGGTGAAATGGAAGGTCCTGCACTGGACCTTTTCAAAGCAAAATTGGAGGTTAGTTCATTCCTTTAAACAGGAAGTTTATGCATGCATAGTTTCTTTTATTATCATGATTACAGTTGCCTGTATTAAGTTTGAATGACTTGCTGCCTTTTTGATTTTTCCAACTGACTTGCTACCCGCTGCTTGGCTATGAGAACTTAGTTTGTGTCATATATGTAAAACGACTCTCTCACTTTCTCTACTTTATATTTGTTATCAATTCTTAGGTGTCTTAAAAAAAGAAGCTTTCAAATTCCATAAGAACTACCTTTTGGCAATGCTTTACCATCTTACTCAAGGTGAAGTGATGGGTTTTAATACATGCTTTCTTTCTGAATTAATATGCATCATTTTGTTAATATTAGTTCAATTGCAACAAACTAATGATTTCCTTTTCTTAGTAAATTTTAATAAGATGTTGGTGCTATCCTTTTCAACCTTCAAGCTGATCCTTTGCTTGCAGAAATTTGCATCTATGACAGAATATCTTAAGCTGCTTTGTCATAACAAGTTAGTTATGCTGTGGCTAAAGCTTGCATAAGTGATAATTTCTTTGTAAAATGAATGCTCATTTGTTTATAGCTCTTGAAATTGGTTATGCACCTCCTCAAAGCTTATATCAGATAACTGTGCTGGGAAGGGAGAGAGAGGAAACAAAAACTTTTTTTCTTTTTCTCTTGTTTTATTCTGCAGGGGGTTTTGTCAGTTAGACTGATGTCTTATACTATCTTGATTTGCAGGCTGTGATGGCAGAGGCAAGATCACAACAGGCTGCATCTCTGACCGAGTTCTATTGGCTTGGCAATAGATTCCCAATTTCTAATGCAAAAACACGGGTTTCCATTTTGAAAGGTTTGCTATTAGTTTTTTTTTTCTATGTCCTGTGTGATTTTCATAATGAGATTAGCATGTATGTTGTTCAAATTAAGAATCAAAACTGAAAGCCAACTCAAAAATCATTGTGGTAATATATGATTGACCATTAAATTTTTAATGGCTTTTGTTTCTGAAATAAGATGTTGACTCACATTGCATATACTCTTACGACTGAAGAATTCTTGGTTTAGCCTTTTTTGCTCGATAGTGATTAAAATATCATTGTATCAAGGGCATGGATCAATGAGTGACGGCACTACCCTGGTTCTGTGCTTACAGTTGGGCCTTTTATCTTTTCTTTCTTAGGATGACTTTTGGTTTTGAGTTGTCTGTCTTCTAGAAATAGTCAACATCTTAAGGTCTTATTTTATTGGCACTTACAGTGGGTAATTTTTTTAGCTTTAATTTGATGACTAACCTCACCTAGTTTGTAAGCCACACAGATGCAGATTGCAGTTGAAGCTAGCATTCCAATTCTGTGCTGCAGTCTTTCTTGCTTTTCCTTTTTTTTCTACTCTTGATTTAAAATGCACCAAATTTGTGGCAATAACAAATTTCTAGCTTTGATTGAATACTGTTTCACAAGTTATGGTTTGTGTCATTATCGTAGATGTGAAAAATGTACCCGTGTGCTTCAAATTTGGACTCTAGATTGGCTGGTCATTCTTGAACCCTTCAAGTTGGTTTATAGTCCAATTATAGTCTAAATTGATAATTTTTTCTGTGTAACCATTTGTGCAGCCCAAGAACTGGAAAAGGATTTACATGGTCCATCAGCAGATTCACTTTCAGCAGAGAAAAGACTAGCAACTTTTGATAAAATTTTTACAGCATATCATGAAGCAAGGAGCTGTATCCGGAGTGACTTGGTATGGAGTGTTAATCAACAGTTTTGCTGTCTTTTCATAGAAATTGAGTCATTATTTCTTCTTTTCTTTTTTCTCAAGAAATTTTGCATTTCTTGAGTCATTATTTCTTCTTATTTAGTACTATTTATTAGAATTTTAAAATTTGTCAATCGCTTATAAATTATTCACTTCCAATTTCACTTCTATGACGCTCATGTTCCTGATTTGGTGTACACTTTAGGCCAGTGCAGGTAACGCTGAAAATGTGAAAGATGACTTAAATGGTCTCGATAAGGCAGTTAGTGCTGTACTAGGACAACGAACAATTGAGCGCAACCAGTTGTTGGTTAGCATTGCAAAGAGCAAACTTACTAGGCGTCGTGATGACAAAAACGAGAAAGTCACCAAGCCTGAGGAGTTGGTTCGCTTATATGATCTTTTATTACAGGTTAGCTTCTATCAAGGAGTATTTTTTTTTTTTTTTGGCATGCCTTCCCTCCCAGAAAAGAAGCTTGTATTGAGTAGCACCTTTCTTAATTGATTCTATTTTTGGCAGAATACAGCTGATCTATCTGATTTAGTTAGTTCTGGAAGGGATAGAAAACCTGAAGAAGTGACATTTGCAGAAGAGTGTCAACTTAAAAGTTTGGCCTTCCGAGCAGAAAGGTTTAATTTCTGTGAGCTCTGTAATGTCTTCCTTTTTCTTTTGTTGGTGGGTGGGGCAGTTTTGGGGTTGCTACACTTTTGTTGGTTTTCTTCATACTGAGGTCGGTTATTATCTGTCAGAACTCTTGCAATCATAGCCTAGCATTATATATATATATATTCCTGGACATGTTCAAGGATAATATCCTTTTTCTTTTTGACAAAGAAAAGGGTATACCATTTGATTGGTTATACTCAATTTTTGGTTACATTTTGAATATTTCTATTCTATGTACAAAGTTATTTACTTGCTTGAGCTCTGGATATAACGACATTATGCGGTATTCTCTAATATCTTTCTTTATTGGAAGGACTTTTTCCTTCTTTTGGGTGGTGTTGGGAGGTGTGAAAAGAATTGATAATTTCCTGCTTTTCAAAATGATGAAACTGAGTCCTTTTATGAAGGAATTAAATTAGTTTTGAGATTGATATTGGGTGTGTTAATACAAGATGTTGCCTGGTGAAATTATACATGGACCTCTGGACTTCTTTGCAGGTGCTTCTACTTGGCAAGGTCATACAGTTTAGCTGGAAAGAGAACGGAAGCATATGCACTATACTGCCGTGCTCGCTCTCTTGCTGACAATGCCCTACAGAAGTTTCAAACTCATAGTAACAGTGAGCAGGTGTCTACATATATTTAGGGGTTTGCCTTCCCCACTATTTTCTCTTAGATTTTCTGCATTAGTTTGACAACTGCTGAATGCGTATATTGCTTTCTGCATGCAAATTACCTGCTTGACACTTGAAATGTTTTCTTCCTGTTAATGAACTCCTTAATGGAGTCATTCCTTGACAATTTCTCGTAATTTTAGGTTCAGACATCTGAGTGATATAATCATGATTAAAATTAAATCTGTATCTCCTTATCCTTGACAGATGATGATCAAAGAGTTGAAGACTTTATACGATGAATGCAGATCTTACAGTTGCATAGAACATGCAACTGGAATTATTGAGGAGGAGAAGGCTCCAGAGAATCTCTCAAAGAAGATATCTACTATATCACTAAGTGGTGCTGACAAGAAGGTATTATTTATGCTTTCCCCATTCTTGGAATTTATAATAAGTGTCTGTCATGCATGCTCACATAAATATGTAGTCAGGGTAAAGTTGCACCGAATGTGGAAGTATTTATTTTTACCTCATTAGAACTTTTATATACTTTAGTTTTATGAAATCAACTATTGGATTCTACCATCTATCATTGTAGAATTAGATGATGCATGCAAGTTTTCAAGTTGATATGATATTTGGAACTCATAAGTTGTTTCCATTTACATGAGCTCTCAACTTCTTTTGTATCCTACGGTTGGATTAGTGAACTGTAAACTTGAATTTTCTTTCATAAAAAGAGCTATTTCCAATGTTGTTTTCTTGAATTTGGGATGGTAAATTTATTTCAGTTGTTGATTCTTTCTTTTATTAAAAAAATTGAGAATGTATTAGGGACAGGGATACATCTCTGGGTCCCTATTTTGCTACATTGATGTGATTTGCGCTTTGGATCTGTTTCAGGTGGAAAAATACCTTCTTGAGAAACTTGATCTCTACGAGTCTGCAGTCAGTGATTCCAATGTGAAAGCTCTTCCTCGTATAGAACCCTTCCCCCCGGCCTTTCAGTCAATACCTCGTAATCCTATTGTTCTAGACCTGGCCTATAATGCTATTGATTTCCCATCTCTAGAGAACAGGATGAAGAAAGACAAGAAGGGCTTCATAAGTAGGCTTTGGCGTTGAGTTAGACAAAGTTTTCTTGATCCAAAAGGAAAAAGCAAAGGAATAGGACCCAACAAAAAAAATTCGTTTACTCGATGAGGTTTTGACATGCATTGGCCTTTGACTTCGCATTTAGAAGTTGAGTAATTCTTATAACTCTTAACTTTTTGGGAAGTATATAGGCATGGGGTTTTTATGCTTTTCTTTTGAAACTATGGGGCTGAAACATAGAGCTGGATTAATTTTGTTTCCTTTATATTGCTGGGTGGTAGAGGAAAGAGGATACATTTCAATACTTTCAGAAACTACTATTTGGATCGGCTGTTGTGTGAATGGGATCCCAATTCCCAATCTTCAAAAGAATCTTTTAACAGGTTTCTCATGGCTACTCCCTTGTTTGCTTATTTGTGTTCCTTTATGCTGGTCAAAAGCTTGAGCATTATGTGGGCTTTTCAGGTTTTTATTTCTGTATACTACACTATCTATCACAGTAGTTCCTTAGATTTTCGGGGTTTTCTTATTTGGTGCCTATAGTCCAATACATCCCATGACGCAAAGACTTATTTGATCCTTGGAGCAAACAGGAGCTAAATGCTTAGGTGTCCGTTGTCACTGCATTTGTCAGTGTTTTGCATTATAATTCTAGCCACTAAACTAATCTCTCATATTTTATTAGAAAAGCTTTGGGACTTACGGGGGACTTTGCACCTATAATGAGCCCTGGATCTTTAATCCGTTTTTCAAAGAATGAAGAAGTTCAGAGCATCAAGTTCCGATCTCTCTTTTATTCATTCAGCCTACAGCAAAATAGCTGGCTGTAGTAGATTATAAGGGTGTCCTCGTGTGAGCATGTATTTCTTTCGATTCACTTGCTGCTTGAAGGGTTTAACCTTTGTCCTCAAGCCCTTGGGCAGTTGGCCATCCCACACTTTGCTTTTGGCTCGATGCAGTGGAGCCTACAGTCTTTAAGAACTTGGTTGTTCAAAGTCTGGGAGTTCACCTTATTACTTAGAAAGTAAAATTGAAAATTCTCAATGTGGTCTATGTTATAGAATTTAGTGAACGAATCGTGATTACTGCTAAAAATGGATCAATACTGAATTCCTGAAAATAATCTGCACCTTTCTTTTTCATTAACAATCATGTTCCATGGTGGCCAGGAGACATCATAAAAAGGCTGTCATTTTTTCCCTTTCATGTGCCCTAAAATTATTGTGATCGGACCAGTTCATAGACCCTAGCTTGCAGTTCAGCTACAGTTGTATGCAGAAATTACATTCCACGCTTGGGAGGTAAAGCATCTGGTTCCAAGTGCCAAGAGTCTTCAGGTATGCCATACTTCCCAATTCCGGGCACCCTGAAGGCTGGAACTCGATGTGAGAAACTAAGTTTCTCTTCCTTACGAACTGCATGGGTGAGATCAAACCCATCATATTGTATCCTGCGGAAGAAAGTTAAGTAACCCTTCACTTCTCCCAGCCTAGCAACTTTTGATCCATCTTCTTCAAAACCTGATAAAACCTGTACAATTTGACACTGGTTGTTTTCATAGTTAGAGCGATTCCACTTGGCATTCCAGTTTTTATACATAGCCCATATTTCACCTTTTTGCGGGTAAATCCAATAGAATGACTCGCATGTGCTTTGTTGGCACTGGACTAAGTAGGAGAACGTTGACATGTCAAGGTTGACACTAGTTCCACTGACTTTAAATACTCCACAAGCCATAGGAAGGTTTTCTTTCTGCCAGTGGATCTCATGATCAAGGATCGGTCGAGGTTCTAACTCTGTTCCACAAACCTGGCTCTCTGAAATTATACCATTTATTCTGATATATTGCCTAGGCATTAGATCCTTTCCACAGTATACAGCCCATACCTGTCCTGTTGCCAAACGTTTCTGTGTTGAACCCGGCTTTAAATTTTTTTTCTCTGGATTTAGATTCGAGAAAGAAGTTGGTCTAGGTAGAAGGCTTCTATTCTCATTTGGTGATTGTTGGCTATCCATGTCTTGAATCATGTAATCTGGCAAGGCCATCTGGTCTAGCTCGAACATCCCATCAGCAATATTATCAATCTCTCCACCTCTGAACCTATATGCTGGAACATTATGTGAGAACATGTAAATATTACTTGGGGAGATATGGAAAGTGATGGGATTTCCTCCCATTATTTGCCTCTTGAACACATTTTTGAAACCATTGACCTTAACCAAACACACAGCATCTGCACCTGAATATTTTGAAAACTCTGATATGACCTCAACTAGCTCAAATCTACATCCTTCCACAGCATCAGGATCATAGGACCAATCATCAAGGTCCCAATCCTTGTATAGTGCCCAAATTTCACCTTTTCTGGGATAGATTTCAAATTGATCCTCTATTATACCTTGAGTCCAGGAGCATTTATAGGCTGAAATAATTTGCCAACTTACCTCCTCCTCCGTCTCTGGAACCAATTCAAAAGATCCACAAGCAACAGGGAGGCCTTTATCACACCATCTTCTCTCACTAGGACTAGTAGGGATTGGTTTCAACCAGGTAACACAAACTTCTGATCTTGAATTTATAGTGATTTGAGCATACCGGTAATTGTGCTGCAACTTTGCTCTATAATGACTTGCCCAGATTTGACCAGCTTCAAGATAGTCTAGTTTCCTGTCATCCTCAAAGTTATAATAGTCCTGGCAAGTTACAATCCCCTCCAAAATGGTAGACGGGGAGTTTGTTGACAAACTTATGCCATCTGAAGACATACCTATCTTACCATTTTGCTTCTCATTGTCTTCAAAAGTTGTTGAAGACAACTGTTTCTCCATAGAATTTCCAACAGCTGTTAAAAGTGTTTCTGCTGTTTTCTTACTGCCTTCTATATAATTCCTGTGAGAATCCATTGAGAAGGTTTGAGTAGTACTCATCGTTTCACTATCTGAGATACTTTGACTACATGGTGCTTGGAACTTGAAAGATCAACAGTCTTCACATACTGTACCCCTTTTCAAATCATATTTAGAACGTGTCTCATTATTTGAAAGCGTGAGAAATGCATCTTGTATGTGTTTCAGAGCCAACTCTGCTCCAGGGAAAGTTCTCACGATAGGTTGCAACATGGAAACAAGCTTCTGGTGACGCTTTCCTATAACAGACTGAGCAGATTGTGGTGTAAGCTGAAGGATCCAGTAGTAATCGATTCCATAAGCAGGAAACTTAACACTAGCAGCAGATAGTATATCACACACAGTCAACATCGACTCAATATTATCAATCCCAGGTGAAAGCTCTTTTGCTCTGAGTAAGTGTTCCCTGGCACTGGCATAACCTTTCTGAGTCATCATTGTCTCAGCAACTCCTTTTTCTTGAAGAGCCTCCAAAACCTTTTGATTCATCTCCTTTGAGGTGCCAACCTTGATACTATGCTTCATCCAAAATTATCCAATTCAACTTGAGAAAAGAGCTTCAAAAGTAGTAGATGATGTGATCAAAACCAAGTTTTCATAACCTGCGACAAGAACAACATATAGTTCACAAAAATTACTCAAGGGAAGAGGGAACTGATACCCACACCAAAAGAATTATTCATCTCGTTTTAATTATCTAAACATCATGATTAGTTCCTATTATTAGAAACATTCCATCCCCAAAGTATAGAAAAGTTAAACATTTCCAGCCCATTTCCGTTCTTCTTTACCCCCTCAGTTTTCTTTTCAACAAAAGGAGCATAAAATAACATGTAAAAACAGAAAATTAAAGCAATGAAAAGCAGAACCATGCAGATGATATAGAAATATCAAAATGAGAAAAATATCACTTTTTCGGATAAATAGATATTAGACACCAACAATTCATAAAACAGTATTAAACCAACGAAAAAGACGAAACAAACCCAGAAACCTTTCCGGAACCCAAACCCATTATCACAAAGATTATAAAATCTTGAATAAAAGGAATCCATTTTTTAGCTTTAAGCAATACATTTAAGTAAAAGAACTTACATGTGGCTAATCAGGCTAACAGTTTTTGTTGCTTCTCCTACAGTACCGAAACCCGAATACCATACGTACACATACAACAGAGTAACAGGTAAATGTGTATAACCATATCCCTATGTATGTTAATGTTGTGTTTGTGTACGTATAAGAGAGTAGAGAGAGATTGCTGAAGAAAGAAAGAAACAGCAGGCAAAGAAACGGTGCTGAGCTGAGCTGGTGGCACACACTATAGTAGCATCTAGAATAAATTTATCAAAATCGAAACTCTCTAGTAAAAAAAGGTAATTATCTTTACGTGAATAGTCCCGTATCTGTTAATTAATTTGATTTGAGTTTTTTATCTAAAAATAATTTATTTTTAATTAAATTTATTTTTTAAATATTCAAATATTCTTACTTTTTACGTAAATAAATTACAATTCAATTTACTTAAATTGATTTTATTTAAAACATGCATTGCCGCCCGTATCTCTTTATTTTCTTTACTTGATAGTTAAGTGTCAATTTGAAGGATAGATGTGACTACTATGGTAAAAATGGTAACATTTTTCGCTCACAAATTTCAAGTTTTTTTCTTATCTTTAATTTATAATATATTTATTCTAAAGTTTAAGATTTCTAATGGTACTCTTAAGGATATTTTGATATTTTTATCATAAAATGAAAAGTAAGAGAAAAAGGAGGATAAGAAAAAATATAAAAAGTATGAAAATTTTTAATGTGATGGTATTCTTAAGCATAAATATTTGATCTAGATGTTTAGATTTTTAACGTGATTAAAATGTTTTAAATTTTGGGTAAAATAGACAAAGAGAGAAAGGAGGATAAGAAAAAAATATAAAATGTATGAAAATTTTTTACCATTACATTTTCTCTCTTTTTTTTATAATTTAGAACAATTTGTACAAAAATTATCAAAATATAAAAATTTCACAAATTATTTTTTTTTAAATAGAAAAAAGTAAATATATGTTAATGCATGATCTCTTATAACTATTCAATTGAATTTAACCTTGCGAATGATTTAGGGTGTTGCATCATGAAATTGGCGTTTCCTTTATCAGCAGTGGTGATTTTTGTATGATTTTTTTTTTTTTTTTGCTTTTAAGCATTAGCAATCAATTTCGCAGTCAGTATGTTATGGCTCACCGTCCACTGAATCAAAAGCTAACTCAATTAATTAGCATCTTTATCAGCTATGAAGTCCAAAGAAAGTTGAAATTAAATAGTTCAAATAAAGGACAAATTAAATTGGTTATCCATTGTAGATGAAAAACAAGCTTCAATTTCTAAGGCAAGGGACAAACAAATAACAAGTCCTTTGCAGACGACCATGTTCAAACTTTAAACAGTTCACCAGTAACTGTAATTGTCTGCATAACTGGTGTAGTGGATCATAGGGTTAGCCTTTGGCGGTGGCCTAGAATTGAAAAAACCATATGGAGGAGGTACCGCTGGCGAAGGGGGAGGCCGCATTAGCCCAAATGGATGGTGCGGAGGTGCTGCTGGCCTTCCAGTCAGCGGCGGACGATAAGACTCAAAGGGTCGATTATATGGCATAGGACCACCATACCTAGGCATAGGCGTCCAGGGAAATCGCCATTTGGGTGGTCCATCCATCGTTGAGGGCTTCCCTATCGTGGATACTCGATCTTTGGTCTCATCCAACTTCTCTTTTGCTCCTCCAATTTTCTTAGAAAACAAACCAATAAACCTTTTCTTGACTTTACCCTTTGTGCTTTGCTTGTTGATGGTGGGATCAGGGTGTTGCCAAGTGATGCTGGCATTGCTTTTCGTAGCTGCACGTACCTCGCCATTATCATCTTGACCATGATCATGGTTATCGTCAGAATCAGACATAGCATCACAACGACAACAACAGCCTTTTTCTATTTTGGAATGTGATCCGTGATGATCAGAATTATCAACCCCTTTGTTAGAACAGCTGGTACTGCCCTGAACATCTTGCTTGGGGGACCTTCGGAAGGACAAAAGCTCTGCACTTTTGCCCCATTTCTCAAGCTTCTTCACGATAATCATTGGGTTTACTTTTCCTGAAACTGTTACCACTCCGTCGGAATCATAGACGATAGACTCCACTCCTAGTTGTAGGGAAACATGGAAAATTTCAGCAAAAACAAATTTAATACAAACCAAATTAGTAGTAAAAATGGAGAAACAACCTTTGATTTTTTGTAGCTTCTCCTTTACTTTCAATCGACACATGGTGCAACACTTGATATTCAATTTCAGAGAATAAGTCTACAATTATATATTCCAAGGGAAAAAAAAAAACAAAAATAAAATTCCATCACGAAAGATATGATACAAGCATAAATCTGTGAAACATAGTAGTACTAAATGAGATTAGGATATTACCGGCAATGCTTGGCGATGTTCCATGGAATTGGACTGATTTCTTGACAGAGATGTTTAAGTTCTTAGGTTAGGATCAGAGCATTGACAGGGGATATATACAGAGAGACAAACTTTTAGACTTTGTCTTGTCATGTCTTGAGGGGTTAGTTTAAGGAAGTTATTAAGCTTTCCATAAACATTGGAGTCCGGAGATCTTGGGAGATTTTACAAGAATGAAATTTTAGGGAAATATGGAAGGCCTTTTTCTATAATCTTAATTTTTGGTGGTTAATTGGTTATATTTTGTCAGTTATACAAGGGAAGTGAAATCTTAGGGAATCCCAATAATTACTTAATGGAGCCAGTCTGTTTGCCTTGTGAAATAGAAAATAGATCAGGCTGGACCGTCCATGCACAACATAATATCTATATATATAAAAGATTAAATTAACTATAAACCTAAATGTGAAATCTATAGCTTTTCAGTGGATTATATATTTATTTGATTATAATTATAAGTAATTATACTGAACATTACTTATTTTCATTAAATACATTGCAAAAAAAAAAAGCACTGCAATCTAGAGAGAGAGAAACAGGGGTGGCATTTGCTAGAGAGAGAGTCAGAGAGACGCAGAAAAGGCGGGTTAATTTTTTAATTCTTCTTTTTTTAAAATAAAATAAAAATTGGTGACGGCCATGAAAGTTCGCAGAGGAAGTTCTAACAACAAACTAACCTCCTTTTATATCACCATTAAGAATTAGAAAATAAAAAAGAAAAAAAAAATCATTATCGTCCTTCATCTGCGCCCTTTTCTCAAAGCTCCAAAGCAACAAAACACGCACAAAAACCAATTAATCGAACCCGGCCACCGTCTCTCTCGAGATATCAAAAATTAATATTCGTTGTGGAAAAACGAAGAAGATCGAGTGAAGATTCTGCGTTTCTCCAACAATGCATTTCTCCAAACTCGACGATACGCCGATGTTTCGGCAAGAGGTTCGTCTTCTTTCTTTCTATTTTTGTTTGGCAATGCTGCATTTTTCCTTGAATGTTGTTCTTTTAATAATGCAATTATTTGCCTTATTTAAGAATAAACACGAAATTTTTGTTTAGATCGCATGAGCAAGTTAAAGTTTTGTAGGAGAAGTAGAGGCGGAAAATAAGCTGTTTTTGGATGTTAATATATTAGGATATCTTTATCTATTTCCATAGGCAGTCACGCAGTATTAATCGGCATTTGGCAGTTGTAAATCTTATAATAAATTTAGCGGTTTAATGCTTTTGTATTTGTTTTTTTTAAAAGTTCTTTTTACACGGTATTTTTCTGAAGGGGCACTAAGGAGGAATTTACGTTTGATTTTTATAGCATTTTGGAGAACTTTGTTTGCCATTTCTGCTTTAAGTGGAATCTTTTTTGGTTGGATTCCTGTTTTTTTTTTTTTTTAATTTTGCCATTTTCAGCTAGTGTAAGCAAGCATTATAGTACATTTTGCTGGTTTATTAAACTTGTTATAAAACATTTTTGTTTTATTATTAGTATTAGTAGTATTTTGCATTATGTTCAGGTTAGTTTGTCTTAGATACTGGTAGTAATTGATGTATTGCTTGTGAAACAGATACAGTGCTTGGAAGAGAACGCCGAGTCATTGCGAGGAAGATGTTTAAAATTTTACAAAGGATGTCGAAAATACACGTATGTCTACATTTTTGTTTCGTTTCTGCAGGTTGTGTACGCCCATTGTTCTAGAATTTTGTGTGCTTAAGGCTGAAGAGAAAACACTGATAATTAACTCGCAATCTGTTTTACTAATGTCTGTCCTGGTGTTATTAAGTCGTTGATATTTGGTTTTATTTCTACTTTGATAAAGCAGAAGCCCCTGAAAAAAAAAAAAAACTCCCAAAAGAAGAAAATATAGTAACTCATGGAGGTAGAATTTGCTTCTAAGTTCTAATTCATAATTGTTAAATGGTTTCTCAAACAATGGCTTCATATGCTTGTCGTTTCCTGTGCGGTTAAGGGGATCTCCTTTATGGCTCCATTCAAGCCTTCTTAGACCAATGCCATTTGAGAAGCCTCGAGAATGGAGCTGTGAGGAGATGATGATGATGAAGTGTTATTAGTTAATTACAAATGCTGTGCTTCTTAGTTAGACTAGAGCAAACCAAGCGAAGCTCATATCTTGTAACTGGTAAGAGAAATTGTGGTTAGTTGTTTTTCTGTTGTCCAACAAGAGGCAAGTGCACAACAAGTTCAAATATGGAGTGTCATGTTGCTGCCCAAACTTAATATTTGCACTAATCAATATTGCTTCTCTAATATAGGCTCATATTATTGAATGATCTCACATGGTCAATTTCTTTTATATACCAGAGAAGGGCTTGGAGAGGGTTATGATGGCGACATTGCCTTTGTAAATGCCCTTGAAACTTTTGGAGGGGGGCATAATGATCCTATCTGTGTTGCTTTTGGAGGTACACATTCTAACTTCCTGTACCCCTCTGAATAATGCCCTGAAAATGCTTATTTTACCTTGCTGTAACTTAGAGCTACCAAGGTTATCTCCATTTAGACACTGCCGGTTCCTAAAATGAATTTATCACGTCTATTTTCCTATTTAATTTTGTTTCATTTTTATGTAGACCTTATGTTCTGTGTCCTTACTGGAGAAAGGAAAAGCCTTTAGAAAACTTATTTGAGCACAAATCAATGCTAAATAACTATCAGAATTTCTCGTTTTGTGAATTATTGGTACTAGAGGAGATACTGGAAAACAAGTTTTGGTTCTTTTCTTGAAAAATTATAATCTTGTTTGTCATATTTTTTGTTTTATGTAGTTCTTTATGCATTTATTATATAAGTTTGATGTTACGGTTTTACTTAAATTGGACAAGCTGATTTATAATCCTCTGCTTGTCGTGGTTGGTATATAAAATGTAAGATGGTTTGTAATGTCTGGAAATGAAATAATTGCTAATATATTCACTTGCGGTTCTTACTGATGAAATTCATACTGTTTCTGCAGGCCCAGTCATGACAAAATTCACCATTGCTCTAAGAGAAATTGGCACATACAAGGAAGTTCTTCGCTCACAGGTAGTGACTTTTGTGATTTTAGAAGTACCCTGTTAAAACATCGTGTATAATCTTTATATTGTATGTAAGGCTTTGATTATTGAATTTAGTGATATGACTTAAGTTTGTCTATGATTTACCCTTTAAGCATCAAAAGTGTTTGCTATTGAGATTTGTAATTGTAGAATCAGTTTCATTTTGGGTAATCATATTGTATTATGAATAATTACGAAGAAAAAGGATACTGCAGGTCATAAAGTAAGCACCTCGTGACCAACTTTAAGAATTTACAACCAAGAGGAAGCTTGTCAGGGGTGAAGCTATGGGGCTGGCAGGGGCCCTGGCCCCCGTTGGCTTTTTAAAATCCCATTGACCCTTAATCTTTCACACCTAAAGAAAGGGAAAAATATTGTTTTGGCCCCCATAAACTTTATGATTCTCCCCTCCCCGCTTGTAAAGTTCATGTAATGAGCTGTTAACACTTTTATTTTTAGATTTATATTCTTAATTTGACCAATTTTAAAAGTAAATTTGTTTAGCTCCTTAAATTTTGCATATTTCTTTCCAGTTAAAGCATGTTTACACATTATTATGTCTTCTTTTGAGTCAAAACAATTTCTTTCCATATTGATAAAAGATAATTAAAAATCTTCAATTGCTATATATGTTATGTATAGAATATTCATATAAGTTTCCTTTTATTTCCTACCATCCTTGTATTTATTTATTTTTTGAAGATCATAGTTTTAGGTTTTTAAAAGGCCATAACTTTTACTCTCTTTTTCAAAACTATTAGCTTGATTAATTTTATTTTATCATTAATTTTTGTATGCAATACTAATTATAATATTTGGAGATAAGTATTTGTTTTTATTTTTGAAAGAAATTATTGCTTTTTCATACATTGGAGCTGTTGTTTCATTTAATTTTTTTTTTTTTTTTACTATAAACTTTTGAAAAGAGTTCATAGTATGTCTAACGTCCTCCCCCCCCCCCCCGAAAAGACTCTGGCTTCGGCCCTGAAGACTGTTTTACAAAAGAAGAAGGATGGGATATCTTCTTCTCCTAGAAACAAACATAAATTTCAAATTCTAAATGTTCGTATTCAATTTAAGGCATTAACTAACTATTTTAATGATTTAATATGTTGGATTTTTTTACAAAGATTTGTTTCCCCCCTTAAATTACCTATTAAGTAGTATTAGATTGCAGTGTGGATCTTTCATAAATGAACTTGTAAGTGTTTATTAATTGTAATTTGTATACTCATCTGGTATTTCTAGCATCTCCTTATGTGACTCATCTCACTTTCAATAAAACTTTCTTGCACATTCAATTATTTTAAGGTGGGCCTATCTCTAACATCATGCCTGAGATATTCTGCTAAGAAAGGCCATTCTGTTTTATGTTGAACTTCTAAGTTGGTTTTCCCTTGCAAAATGGTTTATTCGATATTGTGAAACTTTTTCAATTAATTTAATACCCTCTTCTAAGCAATATAGTTTATTAGACAATGTGAAAATTTTTTAATTAATTTAATACCCTCTTCTAACACTTCCAATTTGCTTTTTCAGATAGAGCACATGCTAAATGAAAGGTTGCTTCAGTTTGTCAATGATGATCTGCAAGATGTCAAGGTACTCTTTATCATACGGTAGATGCTGCATCCAAATCCTTCTTGTTAGTTATCACTGGTTTTCAGCTCTGAAATTACAGTGTTTTTGTTGTTATTGACACAGGAATGGAATATTGTTTAGCCTTTCTCCATTCTTTTTATTTTTCTTAATTTATGTTCACATGATTCAATGTAAAAATATTGAGAGAGAGAGAGAGAGAGAGAGAGAGTAGTGCTAACTTTACTTTTAGTGGAACATTTATCTTTCTTGTTGTTTGAAAGGAGAAAGCTAAAGAAGAGGATCTTGTGGGCACTTTAATGACATTTGTTTTACCTACATGTACAGTTGAAAAGTCCTTGGGTACATTTGAGAGCAGCATATTGTCATTCATGTCTAATTGACCTGCATGTGTAATGGATGAATTTTATTATTCCTTCTCATATTTGACCTAGAGGGATAAGGTCTATGGTTATCTTCTTTTACTGCCTTCTGCCTGCCTACAAATGGTGTCACCTGCTTCTAGATCACCGCAGAATGGGGTGACTGGCTTCCATCTGAGTTCTTCACTCAAATAATGAAACAACTTGATAAGTGACAGTCTTGGTGATGTTAACTGGTTTCTCTCATATTTTCTGACTCCCTGTTGAAACCATTGCTTCAGGATGCTCGGAAACGTTTTGACAAGGCTTCACTTATATATGATCAGGTGAGTTTAATATTCGAAGTGCTAAACACTCTTCTGTTTTTTCCTTTTTGATTCCACTTTTCCAGTAGTAAGGATGCCTTTAGTTTATAAGCATCATGTTGATATTTGCTGTACATTTTAATTTAATAATAAAATTTTGTAGAAAAATGCTGGGACCTTGAAGCATATGTGCATCTTGTTCAAATGAAAAATACCAACCATATTTTGATTCGTTGTTGCACATTTTAAAACACTGTTTCTAAAATTTCCCCTATGTTGAGTATTGATGTTGCAATCAAAAACCAAGAAGGGGAATGATGGCAATAGGAAACAAGGACCGTGCAATGCTTGTCTAAGATTTGATTCTAGATTCTTATACAGAGTTAAAGTCCTTCCACAAAATGAATCATAAAGCCTCTGTTTTGTTGTTCCTTTGCTACTTGCTCCTGGTTTCTGGACGCATAAGGCAAAAAGCATTTTTGGATGAAAGAATGATTTTTTAAATAATTATAAATTAATAAAAAATGAATTTTTATAAATATCAAAATGGATGATGTTCTTTTATTCAAGGGTTTGAAAAATGTGTTACCTTCTAATTATTTGCACCATTTTTACCAAAATAATTTTGCTTTTTCCATCATTTGCTTTTTAGCAACTTTGATGAAACAAATTGCAAGTAGCCATAGCAATGACCAAATAGACACTAAGTTAAATTCTCTTGCCGATTGGCAATAATCACTTGACATCCTTATAAGTATTATAACAATTCATTGGGATTGAAACAACTACTCATTGTGAATTTGAGAACTGGAAAATCCTTGCAAGTATTATAAGAATTCATTAGGATTGAAACAAGTAGTCATTATGAATTTGAGAACTGGTTTTAGTGGACTTTTTTTTAAAGCTAGTGCTTTATAACATTCTAGCTGGTATATTCTAAATGGTGGCAATTGGTGCTGGTGCCTGTTTTGCGACACAGGGACGAGAGAAGTTTCTTTCTTTAAGGAAAAGCACTAGGATGGATGTAGCTGCGGCCATAGAGGAGGTATATGTGATATTAGCTTTTTTCTTGACCCAAAGAATTCTTCTTACAAGTGCATAAATTTATGAACTAGGTTTTCATGGTTAACCATTATCTTTCAAAATCTAATTTGGTAGAGAGACATTCCAGGAATTGCATACTGCAAGAACCTCATTTGAACAAGCCCGCTTCAATCTGGTAAGTTGTGTTTGTTAACAAATGTGTGTTCAATTTTATATGCATTTGTTTAATAGAAGCTGTAAATATACATGTTCTTGTACATCCAGGTTAGTGCTCTTTCAAAATTTGAAGCCAAAAAGAGGTTTGAATTTTTGGAGGCTGTTAGTGGGACAATGGATGCTCACCTTCGTTTCTTCAAACAGGTATGGAAAATGCCACTTGATGACAACTTTTCTCTTTCTTACAGGTGGTGTCTTCTAAATATGTTCAACTTCTGGACCTTTTTCCTTTGCAGGGATATGAACTCTTACATCAGATGGAACCTTTTATAAACCAGGTTTGTCATGGTAACTTTTCCTCATAAATAATTAAATGAAAGATAGTTAAATTTGCCAAACTTTTTAACATATAAAAATGTGAAGATTTCTTTCCTCAAGTTGATACTTCTTTAATAATGTAAACAGATTGAACAAGGCTGCTAACACCAGCAGCCAACTCTTTTGAAACTAGCAAAAGTAGCTGAGACATGCTATAACTTTTTGTATGTTGCTTTTCCTCACAAGTTGCACCATTCAAAGAATCCACCAAGAAACCCATTCTTGAGAAGAAGGTTATATGTTTTGTAGCTTGGACAGAAAGCCAAATCTTTCATCTATTATACCGTCTTCCTCATTCTCTGCAAGTTATAGAAAAAGGTAGAAAGGGTGTGAAAGATGAGAGCCCTCAAAGCACAGGGTCCAAATTTTGTTGTCCAGCTTATGCATATACCATTAAATGAAGAAAAATCTTTGTTTCCAGTGTCACTGAGTGACTGAAGGTAATATAACTAAAGCAATCTTCCTAACCTTGAGAAGATAATTTGCCTGTTCTCATTATGAGAATGCATAACAAACTGTTTTGGACTATAATGCTAAAACTAAGCTGGTCTACCATAAGGGTGTCATCAACAGTTGCTTTAGATTCTTCTACGTGACTAGGAGTTAATACAGGAGCTTGTGCCTGCTAAGTATCCTTGTCATTGGCATGTGAGAGTGGGATTTGTCCTTTGCTCCCTCATGACACATTGATGAAGCTAATATAAGTATTCTCATTGCTAGTACCTGCTACAGTTAGACTGATTTCGACTTCAGAAAGAAGTATGATAAGGGCCTAGATAAGATCTCCTTCTGATCTGATTTACTGCAAAAATTAAATGACTAGAGTCCACATTAATATCCAAAAATGCTTCAAAATTTTTAAATCTTTCTTTTAATTGATACCACTTCGATCAAAGGTGCCTGTTGCAATTTAATATCCAGGATGATGCTATTATTCTTCTGGAATCACTAGCACAATATTTCTGGTCAAGCAAAGTAGATGGAAGTGGTAAGCCTTGAATCATTTTTTTGCCAACTGGTGCTTCCAACCACTCCTGTGACAAGCTTTTTTCTCCACTAATAAAGAGAAAAACTTTGCCTCAAGAGCATTAGTATTTCTTTTCCCTCCTTTTTTCTACATCAGAATCCAGTTCCTTTGTTAATTTATGAGGTCCTCCTCCTGTAATAAAAGTGCCCATAAACAGGCAATTTCCTTGGGAAACTTCCATTGATTTTCTTTCCTGAAGAAATATAGATCTTTTTGTCCAGTTTTCTGCCAATAAAGTTTTCCTCAGAAGCTCTTTTCTACATCCTTTGAACTTTTGATTTCTCTTAATTGAGAGAATGTCTAGAATTAGTGCTGCTGGGTTGCAGGTCTTGGCTTATGCACAACAGTCAAGGGAATGCTCTAACTATGAACAGGCATCTCTAAGTGAAAGGATGCAGGAACATATCAGGCAGATTGATCTCAAGAGTAAGCAGTCCTGCTATGTTTGTCCTGCCACAGCAGATGGTATGCGACCTTTTGCAAGGGGTTCCCAGAAAGTTATTGAGGCAGTTATGCAATCTGCCGCAAAGGGAAAGGTATTATCTGATCTATTGCTCAACTTTTGCATCTTCTCTTAGAAAATCTTAACTCAGTTTCAATTTTAATTATTTTTTTTATTAAGGAGTTCCTTTACATTTCCATAGCTAACACCATCATTACTTAGGTTCAAACCATACGACAAGGTTATCTTTCAAAACGTTCCTCAAACTTGAGGGGTGACTGGAAGAGAAGGTTTTTTGTTCTTGATAGTCGAGGGATGTTGTACTATTATCGTAAACCATTTGCTTGGTCTTCTGTAAGTCACTAGATGGAAGATAACTTATAATACTATAGGCTGTAAATGTTTTCTCATTCATTTTCTCCCCGTACTAAATGTTACTCATTCAGGCAGGTGGAAGTCAGTCTGTTATACAAAGGAGTGGTCCCTCTGAAAGTGGTCCTGGGCTGCTGAGTCGATGGCTTTCTTCTCACTACCATGGTGGTGTACATGATGAAAAAAGTGTTGCACGTCACACTGTAAACTTGCTGACAGCAACAATTAAGGTTGACGCAGATCAGTCAGATTTAAGGTTTTGTTTCAGAATCATCTCACCAACAAAAATCTATACATTGCAGGTGCAGGTTTTTGTTCGATACTTCAATTTCTTGGTGAATATGTAACTGATGCTTTAATTTGTGACTCTGACTTTTTTCCTGCAAACCTTTTGTGGTTATGAAGTTTGGATTTCCTTGAATATTTAGCAGTAGATTCTCAAAAGTATTCACTTGGCAATGCAGGCAGAGAATGCACTGGACCAAAGGGATTGGATTGAAAAAATAACTGGAGTAATCGCTTCATTATTGAGTTTCCAAACACCTGAGAAGGTAATTGACGGAATTTTCTTTTAAACAAATTTGGGGGGGGGGTGTGGAAAGCCGAAAGCACCTACATATGCCTTATTTTTCCTCAACCAAAAAATAGAATGAGATATATATTTATTTAATTTTCTTCAAAAAGTATTTTCTTGAATTGGGGAAAAAGGGGCATTGATCAAGGGTTCCTCACTAAATATCCTCTGATTACTTTATCTTTGAAAATGACCATTCAACTTTTATGTCAGTGCCTCTCTGCTTACAACATGGGAAGTGGTGATAATTGCTCTGCCAGTGATTGTAGTTCACTAGGAGATTCCTCTGATGCTTATCAGACAGCAGTTGGAGAACATACATCTCAGAATCTCTCCTCTGGAAGTCATTTAGATATATCAAGAAGTTTGCAGCATCAAGAGTATTGCACAAAGAGTGAAAAGCCAATTGATATCTTAAGAAGGGTAGCTGGGAATGATAAATGTGTCGACTGTGGTGCACCTGAGCCAGACTGGGCATCTTTAAACCTCGGTGTCCTTATATGCATTGAATGTTCTGGAGTTCATCGTAATCTTGGTGTACATATATCAAAGGTATACCATCTATATGTGTTCAGCAAACCTTACATCTGTCTATGTTTTTTAAAGAATCAGGAATAACTAACTGTATGTAGGGTCTTCGAATCCCTTTAAAGGATGTTAGTTTTTCAGTCACGGAGTGCCGTTGAGAATTTGAAACTTTCAAACAGCTTTGGGAAATTAAGAGCTTAGCAAATGAAATTAAGAATGCCTCAAACAAATTGAGAAAGAAGACAGAAATTTCTTGTTTTAGCTTTTCTATTTCTGAATGTAACACTTTATTTGTTTCTTTAATGTTGTCACTCTTATTTGTACCCAACTCAAAACTAACACATTTTCCTTGATGCAAGCTAATGGATTAGGCAATGTTTATAATGCATTAGACACTATCCTTGTGTAAGTTTCTGTGTATGCATGAAAGATGCAAAAGATGGGAACAATTAATACTTTTTTAATCATGTTAGCAGGTTTGTCAATATAAAATTAATTTTTCTTGGTCTTAGGACATGAAACATTTGTCCCTTGTTTTTCTTTTTGGAGTAGGACTTGCTGTCATCCTTGTCTTCTATTCATACACTAATTCTTTGATTTATATTTCTTTTTTCCTTTTTTTTTTCTCTGATCTATTCATTCAGCTTCTATATAACCTTTTACTCAGATAAGATCACTGACACTTGATGTTAAAGTGTGGGAACCATCTGTTTTGGCTTTGTTTCAATCATTGGGCAATATCTATGCAAACTCAATCTGGGAGGAGTTGTTGCACACAAGAAGTACTAGAACTGCCATGGCTGTGGGGTAAGTAACACATATATGATCTGATTAGATAACTGTTTTTATGCTAGTAAGTTGTTACTTCTTGTGGTGTAGTTCTTCGAAGTCTGATGTACGTAAACAGCTTCTCACAATGAAACCTTGTTACAATGATCCGATTTCAGTGAAGGAGTTGTTCATTCATGCAAAGGTATTGCCCTGAATAATTTAGTTTCTTCTCTTGGAATTTCATTATCTCTTTTTGCGCCAATGAGAATACCTCAATAATTGCTGCTGATCTGGCTTTAACTTTGCAGTAATATTTTCTTATTTATAATTTTCAACATGTTGCTTGATGTTATAAATCATAACTTTTTAGTCAAATGCGGTTTTAGTTGAAAGGGATTTCTTTTCATACTGAAGAAAATATCTGTTAGATGTTTAAAAAAGACACAAAATCAATATTATATTATTTGATAATTATCAGTCTGTAGAAGAATTCCATGAGCTAGTCTCTTCCTTGACTTCATTGCTCTTTTATACATGTTTTGGATGTCAATTTTCAAAAATGTACCACCTGTGTAGAGGTTTTTGCTAGGTAAGATCAACCAAACATTGACTGCTTGGCTCACTTGAGAGACCAATAGCTCCTGTTGTTGGCCCAATTGAGCAAATCATTGTTTCCTTGCCTTCTGAAGATACATTGCTTATAGCAACTAGCAAGAGTAGATGAGATGAAGAAGAAGAAACAGCTAAGATTATAGCAGACTTCTAGCCAAAGGAAGAGGAAAGTCTGGACTTGGAAGTAACCTCTTCAGTCTTCATTTCCTTTCTGAGAACTTAGAGAACTGCATCCCAAACAATGACTAACTTGTTTTGGAGATGAAAGCACTCATGCGATAGCATTAAAGTGTCATTGTGAACTCTGTGCTCAGATAATTCAATTTGAGACACATATGCACATGAAATGAGGCTGTGGGCAGTAAATTTAGGTATTCTGCTAGGCATTGATTTCTAGGCTGGCCATTTTGGGCCAATTCAAGGCTTGCTTTTGGATCTGATAGGGCTCACTTATTATGCGGCTCCCAGGTCACCCTTTTTTATTATTTAAAACGATACTCTGTATTTGTTTTGGTGTTCTGTTCATTGTTTGAATCTGTGCTTTTATTTCATAGTCCTTTTTTGTTTCCATTTTCTTCTGCACTTTTGGATGCAGTTCTAGGAACCTCAACTATCACCCCTACCTTTATCTTTTATGGCCTTTTATGTTTCCCCGAAAGTCTGATTGCAGCTTGAAATTCTGTTCATGTGCATCAATACTTCAATTATATGTTCTGCCGTTTACACATGGTAGGATATAGAATTGTCTGACCCCTTTGATAATCTTCACAATTTGATTTCCAAGCAGTCACAAAATTTGCTTGTATAATGTTCTTAAAATAGTATATTTGCTGGGCAACTGTATGTCTGTGATAATAGGCTTAAGATCTCTACTTCTGGATGTAGAGTTGATGGTTTCTGATTATTTCAGTATGCAGAAAAAGCTTTTGTTCCTAAGAAACAGGACAATCAGCATCTCCTTTCAGTGGCAGAAGAGGTGTGGGAAAGTGTCCGTGCTAATGACCAAAAAGCTGTATACCGCCACATTGTTTGCTCTGGAGCAGATGTCAATGCTATCCATGGGCAAGCATCATATTGTACATCCTTAACTCTGACCAAAAGTAATGTAATGGGAAGACCAAGAAATCCCTTATCACAACTTTGATTGCTTTGCAGATGACTCTCTGGATCAGCCCTCCAGATATTTGAACTCATTAAACAAAAGTGAAGATCAGATTGAAAAGGAGCGCTCTGATGGTTGTTCTCTACTTCATCTTGCCTGCCTGACCACTGACATTGGCATGGTGGAGCTTCTTCTTCAGTATGGTGCAAACATAAATGCTTCTGATTCAAGAGGTCGGACGCCGCTTCACCTTTGTATTGTTAGCAGGAAATCTTCAATAGCAAAATTGCTACTTACAAGGTGATAGTTCATTTTCTTAATTTCTTTTTGCTCTATCTCCGTTGAGGGGATCCTGCTCTTTATGATGCTCAGAAGAGGTAAAACATTTTCTTGTCAGTTTTCTTTTTCTTCAGTATTCTCTCTTTCAGCATGGTGAACATGACACTGCAGTAGATTCTCTTAAGAAATATTGGTTTAATGGTTCTGTTTCATGCAATAGATGCAAGGAGGTTTTTTGCTTTCCCTTGTTCACATGCATCTGAATACCTGGCCTATGGTTAAACTATAGTCCGGCTTGTGTCATCATGGGGGAAACCAATATTATACAATTTCTGATACAAATATTACTCTACCACTGTCATTGTTACTTTGCAATCATTATTTCTACGATGTAATTGTCTGTTTCACATTAGTTTTTGGCTGCTACTTCATAATATATAGATTATTTATCGTACTGTCAAAAAATGTTTCTGATTAAGTGAGGGCATAAGAAATGGTACCTCAATGAGTGAAAGTTTCAGTTTCATTGTCACAAGTCTTCATATTGGCTTCGTGACATTAGCCACACAGTTGAAACTCCCATGTTTGAGTTTGATAGATAGCAATCCACCTCCTCAGTAGGATACGTGAAAACGTCTGAGATGATTTTTTGTTCTCTTTTTAGTGGAAAATGTACTTTGATAAGATCCATCCTTCCTCCAAAACTAGAATAAAGGAAAAGGATTTTATTTCAAAAGAAGTGGAAAAAGCATTTGTGTGTAGGCCATGGAAAAGCTTGTTGCTGCATACACTATCAATACAAGGCCATCCTGAAAGGTTGAGGATGAAAAATGTTATTCTGCCCTCTTTTTCATCATTTCTGGAATATATATTCATAACTTTGTTTATGCTAGTTATTTTTCCCAGTGCTGTGAAGGCGACTCACCCAGTTCCACAATTGCAGGGGAGCAGACCCGCATGCTGTAGATGGAGAAGGTAACACGACGCTTCAGCTTGCATCAGCGTCAGGCATTGATGATAATGAGGTCTTGGCACTCTTAACAAACACACACAGATAGTACCTAAAAGAGACAGCAAAGGACTGAGAATGCATGAAATAGATGACTGTTCTATTAAGAATTGGAAAATCAGAAGCCTATTACTTGGAAAGGTTAGGGCTGAACTTGGTAGACAGGTTATAAGTTTGGCTTGCGATGTCACCTACAACAAGTAATTCCTCGCACTGCCATTTCTTTGGTTGCTGTGTTATGGTAGCTTATGTTGTTTATGCTCTGCAATTTATATTTCCCCTTGAGCTGGTCTATTTTCTTCTTTATTGAGCTTAATAGGTCATAGTTGTAAGTTGTCCTATTTTGTTTCTCTTATGTCAAGATAATTTAAGCATTTGCTTCTTTTAACGCAGTTATATAACATCATGTTTGTCATCCTTTCATCCCAAAAGGATTAAGATATCAGGGAGAGCATCCAACCATTTATTCGTTTAATCCCGGAAATATATTAACAAATGCAATGAAATGAGCCAGAAGAAGAGGTAAGACAACCTCCCTAAATGATATTATAAAGATAATGTTATTTCCCAGGGATCATTTGTTCAAAACAGTAACCCCTCCCATCAAAAAACATTTCCAGCAAAGAAGAATGAAGTCTAATACTAACCTTGGAGCGGTAAACAATGTAACAAAAGCTTGTATTCACTCCTACAAAGCTTATTCAAAATATAAATTAGTACTATCATTAACATATCTGGGGGTGCTGAACCTTCCATTTTGATGTGAAGTATCCACAACGACTTGTTCCCAAATGGCTGCAAATTGTTAAAACCAGAAGTTTCACATACCCCTTAATTTCTAAGCCCTGCTAAGTTTACTATACTGTAGCACCAGCATGAGCCAGCTTCCATTGTTGATTCCGTGAATTTTAACAGGAAAGGGAAAAAAGAACAGTTGGTCTAGTTTGCTTCTCCACTAACTATGCTTACACCTAACAAGCAACCCCAAACGTCACTTGCTTTGAGAAATTGCCAGGACTCTCAGAGTTTGCATCATCATGATCTTTATGGAGTATACTATGTACACTGGTGGAGTTTGGAACCCATCCAAACTGGACCAAACTCTCCAGAATTTGTTCTGCTTTCTCCAGACTTCCATTATCATGAAAACTTCGAACTAGCTTGTGACATGTAACAGGACTGAGCTTCAGTCCTTGCTCTGCCATTTCATCAGGAAACTTTAAAACTTCAGAAAATTCCTCTCTTTTGCTTACTGCATCCAGCAGCAGAGAAGACCATTTTTGATTCAAGACAACATCCTTCACTAGCATTTCATCCAACAGCTTCAATTTTCCAATCAAATTATTTTCTTTCAAGTGTGCATTAGTCATAAGACCATAGATTATTTCATCAGGTTCAACCGCATTTGCTGCCATCCTCTCAAAAAGAGCAAACATCTCAGCTCTCCTCCCTAATCTGTCGTAACCATGTAAAAGCAAGGTGTAAGTTACAGTATTTGGAACCAGATTCCTCCTTTGCATCTCCAGAAAGAGATTTTCAGCTTCTTTCATCTCTCCTGCCTTGCAGTGATGATCAATCAGGATTGTATAGGTTATATGATTCGGAGTGATACACTTATCAACCATGCCTTCTAACAGCCTATTAGCATCATTTGGTTTCCCTGACTTGCACAATCCATCAATCAATGCATTGAAAGCAGTCGTGGAAGCAAAGCCCTTCCTCACCATTTCATAAAATAAAGAGAGGGCCTTCTCCAATTTTCCTTCTTTACAGCATCCATCAATAAGCGCACAATAAGCAAAACTATCTGGTGGAACACCCTTTGAGGGCATTTCATCCAGTAACTGAAATGCCTGAGTTAAATTTCCAGATTTGCAATATCCATCTATAATCATAGTATAACTCTTGGTATTAGGAGCCAAGGCTTTCTGTGAGATTTCATTAAACACCTTCCTAGCTTTCTCGATGTTACCTGCCTTACACAGACCACCAATCAACGTGTTATACGTAACAATGTTTGGAGCAATGCTTTTCTGGCACATCTCTTTATAAAGATTGAGAGCTGCCTTCATATCACCCAGCTTACAAAAGCCGGAAATGAGAGAAGTATAAGTGAAAACATCAGGCACTATACCCTTGCCATGAAGTTGAGAGAAAACATCCATCGCATCATTAATTCTGCCATTTGTTGCAAGACCATGGATGAGGACAGTGTAAGTCTTCACATCAGGGACCACGCCTTGTTCAGACATGCACCTTAATGTGGAAAGAGCCTCAGTTACATTTCCCGCCTTGCAGTGGCTGTTAATCAATTCAGAATAAATAACATTATTAGGAGCTATACCATAATTTTGCATCTCTTTAAAACACCTTTCTACAGCCTTAATTTCCCCTGCCTTAGCATATCCATGGATGAAAGCCCCATAGGTATGTGCATTAGGCTTCAATCCCCTGTCAACCATTTCAACTAAGCAACTCCTTGCTTCATCCATCTTTTGGGCCTTACATAAGCCACTTATAAGAGTATTGCAACAAATGACATCAGGCAGTACCCCTTTGTCCATCATTCTGTCTAGAATCCTTCTTGCTTCTTCAAATCTACTTTTCTGGATATGACCTTTGATCAGATTTGTATAGATAACAAGATTGGGCTTCAACCCTCCCTCAACCATTGCCTCCAACACATGATTAACTCGTTCAAGATCTCCACAATGGCATAGGCCACTAATTATCCCACTATAAGTGTACAATGTAGGTGTCAAGTTGCTCTTCTTCATCTCATTAAGCAGTTCATACACCTTATCAATTTTTTTTTCTCGAGAATAACCCTCAATCAAAATACTAAACGTTTGTGCATCAGGTTCAGCGCCAATCCAAACCATCTCATTGAACAGAGCTTTTGCCTTCTCTAAGTCGCCCGCCTTACAAACACCACTAATGAGCGCATTATATGTGAACACGTTCAATTTAATTCCGCGAGCAACCATCTCATCCTTGACTCGGAAACCCTCCACAATATTCCCTTGTTTCATGAACCCATCAATCAAAGCTGTGTAAGCAAAATGGTTAGGATTTAAACCTGCACGGCGCATTTCTGTCATCATCAATTTTGCTTCACTGAATCTCTTTGCCCTACAAAACCCATCAATAAGCGTATTGTAAGTATAAGCATCGGGAGCAAAACCCTTTTCAGCCATGGACTTCTTTAACTTCAATGCTTCATCAACAACACCAGCTCTACACAATCCACCAATCATAACGTTATAAGTAACCAAACCAGGAGTACATCCCTTCTCCTCCATCTCAAGTATCACCCTTTTTGCCTTCTCAACATCCCCAACTCGACAATAAGCATTAATCACATTGGTAAAAGTATAAACATCAGGAACCAGTTTAGCATCTACCATCCCATTGAAAACCTTCCAAAACAAATCCAAATTATTAAACTTAACCAAATCACCCAAAAAATTATTACAACAAACCAAACCGGGCAAAAACCCACCTTCTTTAGCACCTAAAAAAACGTAAACAGCATTATTCCAAGAACCCACTTTTTTATAACAATCAATCAAAATCTCAAAAACCCCTACATCATTCCCTTTATACTCCTTATAACACCTAATAATTGAAGCCAAAACGGCCTGAACAGGCCTCCCGGTCTGAACCATCTTGTCTAAAACCACATTGGCATCACGAAACAGCTTTGAATTACATAAAATAATCGCTAGAAATGAAAAAGAATCCAAATTTTGTGGGTTGGGGACTTGGTGAATTGCCCAGTTAAAGAAATTAAAGAGGAGTTTGGGATCACGAACCGAGTTTTGGTGAAGAACCGAGTGAACCGTTTCTGGGTTTAGCTTGTTTTTCAATTCTGATGTTGTTTCCAGAAGGCGTTTCCAGTCCTTTTTTTCGAGGATAGCCGCGATTTCCTCCGCTGCGGTGTCGTTTTCAGCTGATGTACAAAAGGAGGCTGATTTGAGACGAGAGAGTCTCGTTTTCGTGAAATGATAGAGCCTTCGTTTCGAAGTTAAACGCATTGTTGAAGGTCTTCGAAGAGAAAAAAAAATGGGGAATTTTCAGTAAGGAATCCGCTTTTCGTCTGCAAAAAAAAAAAAAACAAAAACAAAAAGAAAGCAGCGGCTTTCCGAGGGAAGAAAAGAAAGGAAACAGTGAGGAAGAAGATCGTTTAGAAATGAGAGAAACACACTGGTGGCCCGTGGGCCTAAGTTCTGGGTTTGAGGCCTATGTTTTTGGGGCTCAAATGCCCATGGATCCAATAAAGCCCTCCATTCACCATCTTTTTTGGTAAAGTGGGTTCAACCTTTTGGGTCATAGATTCTAGCTATCTACTTAAATGTAGTCCACTGTTTTCTCCCTTTTCCCTTTTTTAAAGCAAAACAGATGTATGGCAGGGGTGAAGCTAAGTTGAGATTCTGTTCAATTTACATTTTTTATTTTTAAAAAAATAATTTAAAAAAAAACAAAAACCAAGAAATAAAACAATAAAGCATCTGTTAAACAAAGTTCAAATAATTTAGGCAGGTGTAGTCTGATAAGGGGAAAAATCTCCAATTGAGCCACCGCAGGTGAGTCCTTAAAGGTGGTGGGGAGGGACAGGGTGGACCAGTTGCTCTCTATTGTATGCAATTATACTATGGTCAGTCCCCGCCCACCCGCGCCTGCCTTTTTTTCTCTTTAAAAGGAGAGGTAGGGGTCCAATATTCTCTACAAAACGTTTGCTTTTAATGATAACATGAAAACCGGTATGGTCCATGGGCTACTTCTGATTGCTAAAGCTAGTGGATCAAATGACTCTACAACCCAATTATTTTGGGCCCATTGAAAACTTCCAACACTGTTTTTTTTTTTAAAATTTAAGGATGAAAATTAAAACTTTATTTTTAAAATAAAAAATTATATATTAATCAATAAATCAAATACTCAGATACCTTAATACTATTTAATCTTCTCCTATGCAATTAACCAATTAGCTGATAACATTGAGTGCAGGCAAGTAGAAAAGAGAAAGCTGTGTTTCTTCTTGCTCTTCACTTTTGGAAACTGTAACTGCCATACATCTTCTTTCAAGGCTAAAGATGAGGAAAAAGTGATCCCAAACATCAAACTAAAGCTCCTTCATTGAAGGGCGTGGAAATGGGCAAATTCAATCCTAAGTTTCCTATAGTAAAACACCTATAAACATTTTATCTCAAATATGGAGTAAGAGGGGTTAAATTGTTATTAAGTTTGGTAATGATCCAACTACAATATCCGAGTTGTAACAATTTAATCGTCAAAGTCTTTTAAGTATACCAAGAAGTAAACACGACTTAAACTTTGAAAAACAAAAAAAAACAAAAAAAAAAGGCAAATTGACTATAGTGAGGGTTCTCTCTTTTCTTCGAATACTTAATGTTAATACCTATGATTGTGATAAGAAATTGATGAGGATATTTGAGTGGTGGTTGGTCCCCTATTTAACAAAAGGTGGGGGACTACACGCCACGCGTCTTAAAGAAGGAAAAAGGAAAGGGAAAAAAAAGAAAACAAGACGACTTGCAACAAACACAAATGCTAATGTGACAAAACAGAAGTCTTTATTATTTCCACCTATGTGTTTTTTATGCTTCAGGAAAAAAAAAAAAAAAACCCTAAAACAGAACTGAATTTTCGATGCCAGCTCAGACACTTTGAGAGGAGAGGGATGGAGGATGGACATCATTTTTGGCTGCTATCAAAAAACCCATAAAAAGGGCACATCGTTTATGCAAAAAGATCAACAGGACAAGTCGTTTAAGCAGTGTTTTGGTTGGAGACATTTATTTATATTTATATTATATTATATGAATTTGTCCTGTGTTTGTTTGTGGCATGCCATTGTGGGGGAAACTATTTGGATCACCATGTCAACGTGATTGAATTTTTGGAGGAAGAGGGGAGTTCACATTTTGTACGAGTTTTTAATGCCGTGTTGAATCCAAATTCTTTGAAAGAAAGAAATTATAAGAAAGTGTGTGTAAGTAAATAAATAAATAAATAATGCATGAAGAACAATTCAACCCTAAAGCATGATTGATGTGAGTATTGGCCGACTCACACCTAGCAAGATTTAGCTTGTTTTTCATTATCGGGGTTCCATTTTCATTTGATATATATATATAAATATAAATATATGAAGCAAGATTTCTCTAAATGGTTATTTGACCAAGCAAGATCTTCAATGCGTACTTCCGTTGATAAGGTTCCATGAGATTTTGTCTCCTTGGAGATGACTTCAACTGAAAGAAAAATTGCATTATCTAATTATAATGGATTCCTAACACCAATTCTAGGTTAAAACTAGTGCAGACCCTAATCTTTATTTAAATTTAACAAGCAAGGACCAACCTCTTTTTAATTTCTTATCCTTAAGTACTTCTTTCTTTTCAAGCCTCTGGATGATGGTTTTTGCTTTCTCATTTAACTTACTGTTCTGTCATTTGATGAAAACAAAAGATTAATTATTGTTTCCGGAGAAACCCACAACTGAAAATGTTGTTTAGGCTAAGAAGTAAGTAACCATCTTTTTCCCCCCACTGCAATTATTCATGGTCCATGCATTAACTTGATGGCAACCAGCACCATATGAATCACACCAAGCAAGTTAAAGATATTAATTAACCCCAATATTATAAGCCATTAACTGAACCAGTAAACCATACCCTTTGATGATATTTCGGATTTCCTTAGGTATGGGATGCTGCTTTATGTTCTTTCAACATCTGGGGCTCCCTTCTTCCCCCTAAAAATCTAGCTTCCCCTCATCTATTTACAACCCTAAACATATATTAATTGCAAAAATGAAATTTGTACTTGTCTTCTTAGCCATCAAAATATCATATAGGCTGTTGCACATTAAAATGTACCTACAAATATCTTATAGGCTTATTTAGTTACCTTGGCACTTGCTTTGAGAGCTTGCCCATCTTTTGAAAATGAAATTGTCAACATATGGGTTTGGATTTTTATTTAATTATGTTTTTATGAGTTTACAATTATAATCAAATAATTTTCATGTATATGTTTTATGTTCACGAAAAAAATCAATTAAAAAATCAATATAAATTTTAAATAAATTTTATACTAAATTCATGTATTATACGACTTCAATTTAAAATTTAAAAATATTATAACATCTTCTTTATCATTCAAACAATATCTCATTAATTTAATAAAAAAACATACGAATATAATCCAAACAATCTCAATTGCTTTCCATCCGGTATAATTTTTTATTATCATAATCCATTCATTATTCTGATAAAACTTCCAATAGAATAAACTAATTATATTTTGTTAATCATAGTTTGTGGAGCACTTCTCATTTTTGATAGTTCACAGAAGTGGGAATCACTTCTCTTGAAACATTGACCAAATACAACCCTTTTCTGATTAAAATATAATAGCAAACTAGATTAGATTAGTAACAAAATTAACCCTCCCCGAGAGGGAGACGGCTTTGTTTTAATGCTTCAAAAAGGGACGCAAACATCTTATGAAACGCCCCGTGATCCAACCTTTGCCCAAATCAAAGGGTTTATATTTTTGTGTTTGGAGTGATTTAAAGCAAATTATAGTGGCGATTGTGATCGACCATTACACCCAAGAAATAAAAAAATAAAAAAGAAAAGAGGGGAGGTTAAGCCGGTGCCTACTTACAAGTTTTAATGTAAACAACAAGTATAGGACGGTTGGATTTTAATTAATTAGATAAATGGAAAGATCAATTAAGAAAAACAATGAGATGTTTCGATAATGAATGACATGTTGTTGCCTTCGCGGACAAAGACAGATAGCTAATATGTTTGAGAAAACATCATCCTTCCCTTAATCTTCATTACAATCCCATAATTAATTAGTGTTTTGTACTTCTTGAATGAGCAATTCCACAAGTTGGTTGCAGCTGTATTATATTTAAACCTTTGTTTCTTTGTCCTACCTTGGCCAATTAAGGTTTGTATATTGTGGGATTCAGAATGGTTAGGGTGCGCCAGCAATTAATCACAAGATTTAGGACTAATGGACTTGGTCATAGGTTTTGTTTTCTTTTGCCTTTCCTTTCTATGAAGGAGGGGAGGAGTATTTAAACTTATCTTTCACCAAAAAAATAAAAATTAAAAAAATATAATGGTGTAGTGGCCCATAAGTGATACACAACTTGTGGTATTTTGTGTACAAGACAAGGAAGCATGGGCAATTATTATATGTGGTGTTCTTCATCTTCTTGACATCTTCTCCTTTTTCTCTCTTTTATTTCTTCAGTATTTAATTTTTATAAGCTTATTTCAATTTTTATAGGTGGAAAACTCCTCACCAACCTCTTATGCTATAAAAAAAAAATAAAACACATGGAAAATGTGACATTTGGTAGGGTGTGTGGTTTTTGGAGTGTAGACTCTTCTACTTGAATTGGTAAAAGATGTCGATACCCATTCACGATTCATGTCCATGGGTCCGATTTCTTCGCATTAGTTTTTTTTTCCTCCATTATATTTCAATATAGTGATCGTTTTATTATTCTCTTTGGTATATTTTACAACAATTAAATCGGTATTCATTTGATTCATTGTCACATTGTGCTGATGAAAACTTGTCAGAAGGTACCAATATTTGCGTATAATAATCTCTACTCTCCACACATATTTATCATGTGGGTAAGTACAAATAATTGAACAAAGTCTAATATGAAAGGTTTTTTTTTTTTTTTGACTTTATGTAATGTACATATTGTGCCTAGTAGCTTTGAATTTTCTTTCAATTCTGGATAACACTATTTATGAACTTGACCTAAAACGTACCAAAAACATTGCACTTTGCTGATCTGATGGCTTTGCTCAATCAAGTGGGATTTGGTTAAGATTAAGGATATAAGTTAAGGTCAAGTGAAAATATACCTTTTCTTGCCCCCCGCTGTTGTAATATAAATGTTTGAATGTTTGGAAATTTGTTGAGGGATTTGCCTAAAATAGAAAGGAGAAGGGGAACAACAAAAGTGACACAACCTATCCCGATCAAAGGGCATCTTCGTCTATTTAATCATAAAAAAAAAAAACAAAACAAAACCGATTTTGGTTTGGAATATACCAAGCATCTCGTAAGTCAAGAGGATGCGGTTTCATCTTGA